GCGTCATATCTGACATCCTACCCCTCCCTCCCATCCCTTACCATGGCGTAGATCCCCTCTCTACTCGCACAGTCGGATGTCGAGCAGGGCAATGATCCCGAAAGGGTACGCGATGCATTGTAGAGCACGGCATGGCATGGCGTAGACGAGCACCGCGAAGCGTAGTATCAACCTAGCATTGCATTGCATGCCGTGGCATGGCACGGGAAATGACGCCAGCGCTGCAGCGGGAGCACGAGTCGAAACGAGCGGAAGCGCGGAAATGAAGCCAACGCTGCAGCGGGAGCACGATTCGGAACGAGCGGAAGCACGCCAGAATCGGCCCGGGAGGCTTCCCGGGCGCCAGAAGCAGAAATTCCATTTTCCGGGGGCGGCCGGAACCGGCTCCGGACCCGGCGGCCCGAGCGCCGGCCCAGGCGCTGGCTCGGGCGTGCAGCCCAGGCGCCGGCGGAAATGAGGCCAGCGCTGCAGCGGGAGCACGTTTCGGAACGAGCGGGGCCCGAAAATGAGGCCGGCGCCTCAGCGGGAGCAGCATTGTGGAAAAATTATCCCGGCAAAGCAACCTAACAGCGATGTGTAGGAGCATATCTGGAAGCATTCCCCTTAAGATTCACATGAGAATCCAGTTGTAGAATTCTGCTGTTCTCGCAGTCGCAGTCGCATTCGCGATGAAAGTCGCAGTGGCAACGGCAGTCGCAGTCACAGCCTCAGCCTCAGCCTGCCTCAGCCTCAGCCTCAGCCTCAGCCTGCCTCAGCCTCAGCCTCAGCCTGCTTCAGCCTCAGCCTCAGTCTGCCTTCAGCCTCGGCCTCAGCCTCAGCCTGCCTCAGCCTCAGCCTGCATCAGCCTCAGCCTCAGCCTCAGCCTGCCTCAGCCTCAGCCTGCCTCAGCCTCAGCCTCAGCCTGCCTCAGCCTCAGCCTCAGCCTGCTTCAGCCTCGGCCTCAGTCTGCCTTCAGCCTCGGCCTCAGCCTCAGCCTGCCTCAGCCTCAGCCTGCATCAGCCTCAGCCTCAGCCTCAGCCTGCCTCAGCATCAGCCTGCCTCAGCCTCAGCCTCAGCCTGCCTCAGCCTCAGCCTCAGCCTGCTTCAGCCTCAGCCTCAGTCTGCCTTCAGCCTCGGCCTCAGCCTCAGCCTGCCTCAGCCTCAGCCTGCATCAGCCTCAGCCTCAGCCTCAGCCTGCCTCAGCATCAGCCTGCCTCAGCCTCAGCCTCAGCCTGCCTCAGCCTCAGCCTCAGCCTGCTTCAGCCTCAGCCTCAGTCTGCCTTCAGCCTCGGCCTCAGCCTCAGCCTGCCTCAGCCTCAGCCTGCATCAGCCTCAGCCTCAGCCTCAGCCTCAGCATCAGCCTGCCTCAGCCTCAGCCTCAGCCTGCCTCAGCCTCAGCCTCAGCCTGCTTCAGCCTCAGGCCTCAGTCTGCCTTCAGCCTCGGCCTCAGCCTCAGCCTGCCTCAGCCTCAGCCTGCATCAGCCTCAGCCTCAGCCTCCTCAGCATCAGCCTGCCTCAGCCTCAGCCTCAGCCTGCCTCAGCCTCAGTCTGCTCAGCCTCGGCCTCAGCCTCAGCCTGCCTCAGCCTCAGCCTCAGCCTGCTTCAGCCTGCCTCAGCATCAGCCTGCAGCCTCAGCCTCAGCCTCAGCCTGCAGCCTCCTCAGCCTCAGCCTCGGCCTCAGCCTCAGCCTCAGCCTCAGCCTGCCTCAGCCTCAGCCTCAGCCTCCTCAGCATTCAATGTGGCCCGGGAATGGAGTTCTGGGAACTCGAAGAGCACGAAGTGGCGTACAGTTGGCTCCGGGCACCCAAAATGTTGCCCGGGAATGGAGTTCTGGGAAGTCGAAGAGCACGAAGTGGCCTACAGTTGGCTCCGGGCATTCAAAATGTGGCCCGGGAATGGAGTTCTGGGAACTCGAAGACCACGAAGTGGCCTACAGTTGGCTCCGGGCATCAAAATGTGGCCCGGGAATGGAGTTCTGGGAACTCGAAGACACGAAGTGGCCTACAGTTGGCTCCGGGCATCCAAAATGTACGCCGGGGATGGAGTTCTAGCAGCGCCAAGAGCGATTTTGCGAGGATGTCCCAAGCGATTTGGGCTTCGGCGGCACCGCCCCGGGTCCCGCCCCGACCCCCCTGTGGAGTCATCTGCTGCTCTCTTTTGAGACCACTAGAAACCTATCAGCAAAAGCTGTTAGGTAAAATACCAGCGAAAACCCAACTCCGGGGAAACCTGTGCGTAAAAAACAATACGCGGGGGGGGCGGCTACTCCATTCCGTCATCAGGGGAAGATGGAGAGCAGTATTCTTATTGAATAATTGTGGAGGAGGAGGAGGAGCAGCAGCAGCAGCAGGAGGAGGAGGAGGAGCAGCAGCAGGAGGAGGAGGAGGAGGGGGACAAGGAGGAGGAGGAGGAGGAGGAAGAGAAGGAGGAGGAGGAGGAAGAGGAGGAGGGGGAGGAGGAGGAGGAGGAGGAGGAGGAGGAGGAGGAGGAGGAGGCGCTTCCGGGTAAGCTCGGACTAGAAGCCCCGGCCAGCGCACGGCCTCGCCCTGGGAATGGCCGCCTTCTGCGCGGCTGGGGAAACCGCCCCGCTTGAGGGGCGGCGAGGGAGTACGCCGGCCCCCGACAACAGGGCACCCGCGGCCAAGGGACCCGCGGCGCTCGGAGGGTCGAGTCGAAGAAGACCTGGCATCTTCTCGTGCAGCCTTTCCGTATTGCTGGCATCATCCGTGCAGGAGGGGCGTCCTCGGTCATGGGGGGGCTTAACTCGTTTGAGATTTCTCTGGTTTCGGCTCATACTGTGGCGGAAGTTGCGATACGATACGACCACCGCTGCGGACATCGTCCAGGCCTACGTAAGACCAGGTGGGCAAGGCCTTGGCCTCAGAAATCTGGCGTGTCTAAACAACATGCAGTGCAAGACACATGTATACAAAGTTATGATTGGGAAGGAGAAGGGAGGAAGGTCCTGGAGGTCGATGCCGGCGTGCTGCACGATATGCTCGTGCGTGTCGGTGTGGGAGAGGACGGAGGGAGGGAGGGAGAAGAAGTCCTTGGTCTCGGTGTCGGCTCTGGTAGTGGGAGCTCGTGTTATTGGGACCCCCGATCAAAGGGGAATGCGCTGCCTACCTCTGAGCAGGCTCGTCGGCCGACCCGTGCTGGCATCAGGTCTTGCCGCAAGAGGGCGAGGATCGGGATCCGGATCGGGATCCGGATCGGGCTCGTGGAGTTCGGGCGTCGGCTCTAAGCCATCGCGAGTGGCTTGACACCGCGCCGTGCGCGAGCTCTGAGCGGCGGCGGAGCTCGGTTGGCTGCCAACCTGGCAGGCGACCCCCCGCTCTCGGACTCGGCGCTGCGCTGCGCGAAAGTCAGACGCCGAGGCGCGTGGACACAGCACTGCATGCAGCGGCG